ACTGACAGCTGTCCGTCAAAGCAAAATGTGCAACCCCACCCTTGACTCCTACCTCCTCTAGCCATCACTTCAGGTCAGTGAATTTCCCTGGTCAGTTTGGTTTCGTTTTTTTAAATGAGGTGGCAGAGATAATATTTAATTAGGGGTTTAAAACATCACTTGGAGGAACAAATGTACAGCGGTACCTCTGGATACGAACGGGATCCATTCCGGAGCCCCATTCGCATCCAGAAGCAAACATAACTAGCGACGGCACGTCTGCGCATGTGCGCATCGCTTTTCGCCGCTTCTGCGCAAGCGAGTGACATCATTTTGAGCATCTGGGCATGCATGAGTGGCAAAACCTGGAAGTAACGCATTCTGTTACTTCCGGGTTGCCGCGGAGTGCAACTCCAACACGCTCAACATGAAGCATATTCAACCCGAGGTATGACTGTACAGATAGGGCTGTAGAGCCTTGGCATTAAGGCCAGGCAGTAGAAAACACGCACATAATAATAATCATAATCATAATCATAATAAAATTTTATTTATATCCCACCCTCCCCAGCCGAAGCCGGGCTCAGGGCTGCTAACACAGCCTTCTCTTTGCTTTTTTCATTGGGATCTTTCTATATTAGGCACCACATCCAAGACCAGATGTGTGGCCTGATAAATGTAGCTGGCTTAGCAACAAGGGAGCAGAGAGAAAACGTTGCCAGCCTCCAGGGCAACACTGGCGTTAGAGCTCAGCCCCTGAGCTTACTTTGAACCGTCTTCACAACATGGACAATTGCAGGGCAGGAAGTTCTCTTACACAAGACAGGTTGACTAGGTACCTTCCGGTTCTGCATTTGCCTTAAGCAAGCAGATGTTCTTCTCCTTGTAGGTTCTTATTTAAATCTATCTCTCATCCTTCCTCCCCAAGGAGCCGAGGGTGTCAAACATATTTTTTTATATTTTTTTAAAAAAACCCACAAATGACAAATTTTAAAATTCTGAAAACTAGCACCGCATTTAGTCCAGACAAATCCCAGATCCCTGAACCAAATCAGGATAATTTGGGCTGATTCCATCCCAGACACAACATCCACCTGGAATATTCCAGAGCTATCAAAATCCAGGGCCAGCCCACCCAGGAGGCAAGGTGAAATGACTGGCTCAGGCTGCAGGATTCAAAGGGACAGCAGATCCCAGTGCAGATCTTTATTCCACCCTTCTGATGTAGATCTTCTTCCCTCACCCTTCTTCTCTGGGGGGGACGCCATTTTGTGATTTTCCTCAAGTGTCAAAACGTATTGGGCCAGCCCAAGAAACATATTGGGCTGGCAAATTGGGGGTGCCTTGCACAGCCTTATTAAAATTGTCTGGGGAAAAAATTAAGAAGAACCATTGCTAACAAATTTAAATGTTGCTAGGAATGGCATCCTTCAGCTGTCTTGGAGAATATGCTTTAATTCTTTGCATCGAAAAGCCTCCCTGTACGATGCTAGATTGGATCTGGTTCTGCTGAACTGTTCATAGCAGAACAACCCAAATCCCAAGATAGTTTTGAGTTTACCTGTCGCTAGAAGCACAGAGAAGAAGAAGAGTCTCATAAGAGCCAGCATGATGATGAATGGTGCACCCTATGAATGCTATTGCCAAAAAAAAAGTTTGAAGACATTATCTCCCTCTCTTACCCAACAGTTTCTCTTTCTGCAGTGAAGCAATTCTCTTACTAGAAAAAGTATGCAGCAATGCTCTAAGAGAAAACAGGAACGTTAAATGAAATCCTTTAAAAGCGGAACTAAGAGTAATTTCAAGATGCGTTGGCTGGAGCTGGAGTAGATGAAAGGATGATTTAATCATAGAGTTGTAGAGTTGGAAGGGGCTATGAGTGTCATCTAGTCCAACCCCTTGCAATGCAGGAATCTTTTACCCAACGTGGAGCTGGAACCCACAACCCTGAGATTAAGAGTCCCATGCGCTGCCAACTGAGCTATCCCCGGAGCCTGTGTGGTTCACTTTTGTTCTCCCTCTCCTCTTTTGAGGGCTACAGGCACAGCAGCTTTGGGAAACCTGTGACACTCTGGCTGCCATTGGGTTCTTGCTCCCATCATCCACGAACACTGAACCTGCTGACCGAGGCTAATGGGAGTCAAACAACATCTGTAGTGCCACAAGTTCCCTATCCCTTCAGTAGGGATATCAGGAGGGGATTCCTAGTGCATGTGTTAGCTGCGCCCATTCACTGTGGTCCAGATCAGGGACTGAATGCCTGGGGTGGTGGTGGTAGTCGCTGGAGGGGAGGAGGCAAAAAGTAGCCAGGGTTTTGCATTACCTTCAGATAAACGAGGTATTTAAACAGGACAGGAAAATAGGCTTCCAGATGGAGAGGTCAAAACTAGAAACAGAGCTGTTAGAACCCAATACTAAGAACTTGTCAAGAATGTATAACTTGCTGTTGAAATGGAATACACAGGATGAAACGGTGAAATCAGCTATGATTAAATGGGCACAAGACATTGGTCATGACATTATGTTTGCTGACTGGGAACAGTTATGGAACACCGGTGTTAAGTTTACGGCATGTAATGCCTTAAGAGAAAATATAATGAAAATGATTTACAGGTGGTACATGACCCCAGTCAAGCTTGCGAAAATTTACCATTTGCCCAATAACAAATGCTGGAAATGTAATGAGACTGAAGGTACCTTTTACCACCTTTGGTGGACCTGCCCGAAGATTAAAGCCTTTTGGGAAATGATCTATAACGAAATTAAGAAAGTCCTTAAGTGGACTTTTCCTAAGAAACCTGAGGCTTTTCTCCTGGGCATGGTTGGCCAATTGGTGTCAAGGAAGGATAGGACGTTTTTTATGTATGCTACCACAGCAGCAAGAACTCTCCTGGCAAAGTATTGGAAGACACAAGAACTACCCACTCTGGAAGAATGGCAAACGAAGGTGACTGACTACATGGGACTGGCAGAGATGACCGGCAGAATCCGTGACCAGGGGAGAGAGACAGTGGAAGAAGACTGGAAGAAATTTAAAATTTATCTTAAAAATTGTTGTAAAATTGAGGAGTGTTGAGATGTTAAGGAGTTAAGAAATAGAGAATTGCAGCTGTAAACAATAAGTTAAGGGAATAAGAATTTAATGAAAGTGAATTAAATAATTAGTTGAAGGGTTGCTGAAGAAAGGTAAAACAAGGATGCAGAAAAGGGGAGGTATGGGGAAGTCCGAGAAGTAAGGTGCATGAAAATAAGATTATGAAATTATACATGTTTATATGTTGGTATGTTTTGTTTTGTCTATTGTATGTTCTTATTATGTGTTTGGAAAATTAATAAAAATTTATTAAAAAAAAAAAGTAGCCAGTGTTAATCATGCTTTTTTATTTATTTATTTTTAAAAAAACATCTTCAGCCATGAGACAAGAGCTGCATTCACAAGGCAGTTTGTTCTGCACCCCTGACTTTTCTTAGCTGTTGTAATTTATGTGTTATGTTTGAGCTTTTGCATGGGATAAAAGCCACTATCAGAAATCTAACAGAATAGAGTAGAAATTTTAGTACTCATTTCCAGGCTAATTTCTTCCAGGAAGAAAAAAAATCCATTTGCAGTCCTATTAACTCAGAGAATCGTGGGATAAGAGCAATGAAATTTGGGGCACTATTCTGGTGTGTGTGTGTGTGTGTGTGTAAAAAGGCAAAGGAACCCTGGACAGTTAAGTCCAGTCAAAGGTGACTATGGGGTTGTGGCGCTCATCTCTCTTCCAGGCCGAGTCAGCTGGCGTTTGTCCACAGACAGCTTTCTGGGTCCTGTGGCCAGAATGACAAGACCGCTTCTGGCGCAATGGGACACTGTGGCGGAAGCCAGAGCACATGGAAACACCGTTTACCTTCTCGCCGCAGCAGTACCTATTTATCTACTTGCATTGCATGCTTTCAAACTGCTAGGTTGGCAGAAGCTGGGACAGAGCAATGGGAGCTCACTACATGATGGGGATTCGAACCGCCAACCTTCCAATCGGCAAGCCCAAGAGGCTCAATGGTTTAGACCACAGATGAAAGCCCTATGCCACTGTGGGGAACAGGTTCCACAGCTTAGGGGCTGCTGCAATACAGATGGAATTGGTACTCCAAAGTTGGTACTTCAACTACCCTGGTTCCAAAAAATTTAGGGCTTTATAAGGGTCACCATCAGCACTTTAACCTGGGACCAGCCCGCCTTTAAATTCATTTTGCTACAATTCCTCATCAATCTGGCCTGTCTCCATGATGGCTTCTTCTTTTTAAAAAATGAAGATTGATGTGGAAATGTTAAAGACTGGAAAAAAATGAGAACTTGAGGCAGACTAAAACTGGCAGATTTCACCGGTCCCTAATTGCGGCACCAAACCGCCCAGCGCCCTCATAACACCAATATTGATTGATTCATGTGAAGGCTCTGAATTTCCTCTCGCTTTCCTCCTGAAATCCATTACTTTTATTCAACAAAACAACGATAATGAAACTCAGTCCCAGGAAAGCATTGCTGAGGGATGAGTCACTGCAGCAGCATCCATTAAGGTGCATTATGTGGGGCGGCTCGTTGGCAAGTGGAGCTCTCCGTGAATTGGAAAAAGGTTCCTGGGTAACTGAGCTTTGCTGGACTGAGAACGGCCTTTTAAAGCCCTTTAAATAGCACTGGATTTTACGCTACCACTCCATCTAGTGGCTTTTCATGGTTTCAGAGAAGAGCTTTTCCCAGCCTGGGACCCGCTGCGAATTAGAGCCCATAATTTCTGCCTATGCTCTGGCAACCTCTAAGTTAGACCTCAAGGACACGCATTGATTTTATGCATTCACTCTTAACTACTTATCTTAATTGCGATTTCTGCAGCTTTGTGAAAGTTTGGGTAGCCTTGTCTGCTGTCTTATTCTGCTGTGGTTTGTGGACCTTTTGAGTTAGAGTTAGAAGAAAATGTTTATGTGTTCTTGTTAATAATAATACAACATGACCACATGTCACTTTTGTTACTCCTGGTGTTTATTTTCACTGAGGAAAACAGAGAATTCCTCCTGGAAAGGCTAAACTGCATTCAGAGAAAGTGGCGAGTGGATAAAAGACAGGCATAAATGAATGCAGAGGAGATGGAATCCCATGCAGGTCCCTTTCACGAGATGATCTTCAGCAGCAGGAGCCCAGAAAAGATTGGCAGGAGCAGGCCGGAGGATCGAGATCCCGTAGAATGTGTGCATTCAGCCACCTGGACAGCTTCAGATGACATGGGACGGAAATTTGTGGCTTCGCCTTCTATTGCCGCGCAGGTGTACTTTGTAGTGCAGCCCATCATGGTCCGGTCAATGTGGGTTCCATCTGCACATGGGAGACAAGATGGGTTGCTAGGGGAACCATTGGCGCTTGCCTCTGTATCCCAAATCACTCTGCCCTGCCTGCTTGAGAGGAAGGGTTCCCTTTTACTCAAAGTCCAGTTGGACACAGAGGAGTGGCGCTCAGGCAGGCCGATCTTTCCAGAGCTCTTGTGAAAATGAAGTGTTGCTTCCAACTAGACCACATTCCCGCCATACATTTAAAGCCCTGTGATACCACTTTAAACAGCCCCCCTCCCAAAGAAGTCTGGGAGCTGTAGTTTCTGAAGAGGGCTGGGGGGACGTTAGGGAATCCCTGTTTCCCCTCCAAGGGGCTACAATGCCGGGAGTTCCCTGTGAAGGGAGATGGGTTGCTAAACCACTCTGGGGACTGTAGTTCTGTGAGGGGAATAGCGCCATCCAAACAACTCTTTAAGAAACTACAGTCCCACCCCACGCAAGAATCACAAGTTGTGGCACACTTGCACCATTTTAATGACACCTCGAATATTTTATTGGGACAACCAAAGGGACTTCTGCCCCTAGGATTTGGCTCCTACTATGGCAGAAGAGAATAGGCAGCAGCGATAAATATGTATTTAACAGTAGCAACCTTAGTGGGCTGCAGTTCATGAAAGCTTGTATGATAATAAATACACAAGTCTTCAAACACTCTATAAGTTTCTTTATGGGTTTAAATGCAAAAGACAAACACAGGGGCTACTCTGGAAATTATTTGTTAATGACATGTATCCAGCGCTACATCCTCTGGATGGTTTGCAATATTTTTTTTAAAAAAACCAAATATATATATAACATGTTTTTTTGGGAGGAGGGGACACGACAAAGCAATACAGTGTGTTAAAAGTAATCCACATAAAAACCAGCAGCATAGATGCATTCTAAAACTGCATTTTTTTAAAAAAAACAGCTAAGAAGAAGAAGAAGAGTTTGGATTTGATATCCCGCTTTATCACTACCCTAAGGAGTCTCAAAGCGGCTAACATTCTCCGTTCCCTTCCTCCCCCACAACAAACACTCTGTGAGGTGAGTGGGGCTGAGAGACTTCAGAGAAGTGTGACTAGCCCAAGGTCACCCAGCAGTTGCATGTGGAGGACTGAGGAAGCGAACCCGGTCCCCCAGATTACGAGTCCACCGCTCTTAACCACTACACCACACTGGCTAAAAGAATTTGCCCCAAGGACTGAGAGATGCTCAAAGGACTGGGAGAATGAAAAGGTTGTCAGGTCACAACCAAAAGATCTGAACACTGATGTCATCCGAGCCTCCTCTCAGATATCAGCCACCACATCTTGCAGGTGTGGGTGGATAAGGACCTCTGGAAAAGATCTGCACAGCCCAGACAGATTTATAAAGGGAGTACATTCGGTGCAGAGGTTAGTGAGCCAGGTTAGGACCTGGGAAAGCTGGGTTAAAGTCCCAACTCAGCTGTGAAAACGTGCTTGGTGATTAAGCCAGTTGCTGTCTCTCGACCTGTCCTCCCTCAGAAGCCTGTTGTGATAATGAAATGGGGAGAGGGGAATTGTTCGCCACCTTGAGCTCTTTCAAGGAAAGCTGGGGTATAAGTATGAAAAAGCATACCAGTAAAACCAGTGGCTCGACACTAGATGTCTTTCCCCCCTTTGCTATGGTTTATAGGTAGGCAAATAAAATAGTTACTGCTTGTGACTGTAATACTAACAGTAGTAGTAGTAGTAGTAGTAATGAGGCAATCATTCAGATAAGCCAGCCGGAGCCATCCAGGTTTTGCTCTGTCTACCCAGCAAAATGCCCCTGCCATGAAACTCATCCCACCTACCAGATAGAGGAGAAGCAGAATGACTGCATAGGAAACCACTTACTGGTATCTACATGTGAGGTTATCTTAAAGCAGCTCGTTTCCATTCCAGTGCAATTGGCCATCTCTGTCTTGCATGACTCCTTCCATTCATGGCAGGCAGGACACATTACTCCGTTGGATCGAGTCTGTACTGGTATCACTGAAAGAAGAGGGCATGGGGGGGGGGGAGAGAAGCATTTGTCCGTCATCTCATCAGAGGAGGAGGTAATACACAGACAAAGGTTTTATGCTCACAACCACTTTCAGGGGCGCCAACTTGCCCCCCACTTTGAGGGGCCCCGGTGTCACTTGGCAACATATGAATGACATCATACATGTGGTTGGGTGCCATTGCCCGGGCATGCAATCTGGGGGGTGCAAACCAGATGCCCCCCACAGAGATCCCCGTTGCACCCTGTTGGTGGCAGGAGCTGGAAAGCTTGGCACATGATTGCTCGCCCATCGACAGAGGGGGATGGGGAGTGCAGAGGGCATGTTTGCAGGAAGGAGGCCATTCTGTTTGGGAGAGGCTTCAATATTGGGGTGGAGAGTTCAGCCCCCTGCCCACAAATATTGAGGGGGGCCAAAGTTCCTTCCACCCCCTAGAGCTGGCGCCCTTGACCACTCTGTACAAGGTGCTCTGCCATGTTTTTCAGTCTTAATCCCATCCTAGCTCAAGTGGCGCCCGTGCCTTTTGCACAATCCCGTCTTGTTCCAAAATGTTTTCTAGTGCCGACGACATGGGTGGGGAACCCAATACTGGCCAGCCAGGGGTTCCAATTTGGCTATTTCCTCCAAGCCATGCCCACCTCCCAATCAGCTGGCCTAATTTTCCAGCTGGTGGGAGAAAGGGCAGGGTTCTATTCTGCCTTGGCTGCAAGTGCCTGTTCACAGCGGGGAATAGCCACTCAGAGTCAAAGCAACAGGATTTAACACACAGAAACGCAAACACACCAGCCTAGCATGGCCAACAGTCAAGGATGAGGGGACTCGTAGTCATGCAATATCAGGAGGACACCAGCATGAACTGGCAGGACCACAGGGAGGAGGAAGAGGAGGAAGAGGATCCCAGTGAGGGGTGTAACTTGGGACACACCGGGGCAAGCAGGGGATGGGGAAGGAAGTACTCACAGGGTGACGGAGGATGGCGAGGGCATGGAGATCAATGCACAGGAACCAGAACAGCAGGACCCATCACCAGAGCCTGAGGAGCACCTGTCCCCACAAACACGGCAGGCTCCAAGGCATAGGGAGCAGTAGGAGGGGCACTCTAGGAGGCTGAGGAAGGCAAGGGCCCACAGCCCGACCCCCTAGCTGGCCAGATGGGGCTTGCTAGCTCTGGAGGATGTGATTCCTCAGTTGGAGTAGGAACAGGTGAGGGCCACATGGCTTGTCAAGCCCAGATGCTGCAGCCAGCATGCAAATTCCAAAAGGGAAGCAGAGCTGAGGTGCTGTGCCTGCTCAACTGCCCATGTTGATGGACCTTGGCTTGGATGCCCCTTGGCACTCTATGCAAGTACACTTGGGGTTTGACCCTTCCTGACTGTATCCTGACTGCTGGACTTCAGACGTAGCTACTTGGAAGGGGCCTGGACTACATTTCCTGACCTTTGAACTTTGGTTATGTGGCTTGAGCCTCAGACTTTGGACTTCAGACTTAACATACTGACTTGCCACCGGGTAGGCCAGGGGTTCAGGGCAGCTGGCTTTTAGAAATGCAGGGTTCATCCAGACTTCCTTTTGTGCCACATTTCTGGGTACAGGCCCGGACACAGAGCTTTAAACTGTGGGGCTGTGCCTAGAATGCTCAGAGCGAAAAGTAAGCGAGGAGGAGCCCAATTACAGTTTGCAGGTGGCAATATGCAGGTGCCATATTGCATGAAGCTATGGAAGAAGGAAGTGGGCTCTGGAGGGTGAATGGAAGGAAGTAGTGAAGGAAGGGAAGCAGGAAGTGGGAATACCACTGTATACCTACAGACGGGTACAACTTTATCGCAGTCGTCAGTGCAGCAGACCCAGCTTTGGCGTACTCTTCTTCCAGCCCCCAAAGTGAAGTAAAACGGAGGCATGGAGCACTGAGACATAGTTGAACACCTTTTCTCTACTTTTGTCACTGATGGTCCATCTAAGCAGGAGGGCAGGGAAAGGAGAGACAAAGAGGTTTATTTAGTCACCAGGAAAAATGTTCACCATTGTCTGTATATGACAGCTGTGATCGGAGATCTATGCCGGTTGCTGATTTGCTACCAGGCCAAGTTCAAGGTGTTGAAGGTATTAGTGTTCAAGGTATTAGTGTACAAAGTCCTTGGCTACTTGAGACCTGTTTGCCCACATCAACAGAAGTATAGTGTACATCATGGGTAGGCAAACTAAGGCCCAGGGGCCGGATGTGGCCCAATCGCCTTCTAAATCTGGCCCACGGATGGTCTGGGAATCAGCGTGTTTTTACATGAGTAGAATGTGTGCTTTTATTTAAAATGCATCTCTGGGTTATTTGTGGGGCATAGAAATTTCTTCATTTTTTCTTTCAAAATATAGTCCAGCCCCCCGCCCCCCAAGGTCTGAGGGACAGTGGACCGGCCCCTTGCTGAAAAAGTTTGCTGACCCCTGGTCCAGATCAAGGGAAGTAATAGTACCGCTCTGTTCCACCTTGGTCAGACCACACCTGGCATACTGTATCCTATTCTGGGCATCACAATTTAAAAAGGATGTTGACAAGCTGGAATGTGTGCAGAGGAGGGAGACCAAGATGATCAAGGGTCTGGAAACTAAGCCTCATGAGGAGCACTTGAAGGAGCTGGGTATGTTTAATAATAATAATAATAATAATTTTTATTTATACCCCGCCCTCCACAGCCAAGGCCGGGCTCAGGGTGGCTAACAAGCAATAATAAAAACAAGTTGAATGATTACAACTTAAAAACAAAATTAAAATACATTAGAATATTGAAACATTAAAATATTTTCTTGTTAATTTTTTATTAGTTTCAATTCATTATACAACACTAAACATTAAAGCAACAAAAAAGACAAACAAAACACAAGAGAGCAACAAAAAAGACATTACATAACATAAAACACCAACAAGTTAAACTTACAATAACTAAATAACTAAATCACACAACAATAATTGACTTCCCTTCAACTCGGTTTTGGAATATGTTTCAAAAGGTTTTCTGTCTGCAGTTTCGTTTTCTTAAAACTCTTTGCGTCGCAAGTGTTATGTCGAGCCTACTGTGATTTTTAGATTTTTTACATCTGTTTCAATATATGTCATAAATTTATTCCATTCATTACTAAACTTTGTACCTTTTTGGTTTCTTATTTTCTGTGTCATTTTTGCCAATTCTATATAATCAAATAATTTTAATTGCCACTCATTTATAGTTGGGATTTTTGATGTCTTCCAGTTTTGTGCTATTAGTGTCCTAGCAGCCACTGTTGCATATTGGAAAAGTGTTTGGTCTTCCTTTTTAATTTCTTCTCCAATTATACCCAGAAGGAAGGCCTCGGGGTTTTTTTGTAAAGGTATATTTAAAAATTTTTTTAGTTCATTGTAAATAGATCCCCAAAATTTTCTAATTACCTTACAAGACCACCACATGTGGTAAAAATTGCCTTCTTTAATCTTGCATTTCCAGCATAATTTGTCTCCGGTTTTGTACATTTTTTCTAATTTTACCGGCGTGATGTACCACCTGTACATCATTTTATTCATGTTCTCTCTAAGGGTTGTGCATGCCTAGAATTTCATACCTTTATTCCAAAGTTTCTTCCACTTATCAAACTCTATGTTGTATCCAAGGTCTATCGCCCATTTCACCATTACTTCTTTTATTTCTTCATCTTTGGTGTCCCATTCAAGCAACTGGCTGTACATTTTTGATAGGAGTTTTGATTTGTTTTCTAATATTTCTACCTGGAATCTGGATTTTTTTTCATTCATCCCATTCTTTTTATCTTCAGTCCACATAGCATTAATTTGATGAAATTGGATCCAACCTGTCAGTTTATTTTTTATCTCCTCATATGGCCTAATCTTCCATCCATTTTCTGTTTTTACTAGCAAATTTTCATAGGTCCATCTTTCTCCTTCAATATTTATTTTTTTATTGTTAAGTTGTCGATTGGTGATAACCACCAGGGGGTATTTCTTTCCAATAATTTTTTGTTTCTCTCCCATACTTCCAACAGTGGTCCTCTAATAATATGATTAGAAAATCCTTTGTGGACCTTTTCCTTATTACGCCACAAATAAGCGTGCCAACCAAATCTTATGTTGAAACCTTCTAAATCTAATTGATCTGTATTTTTGATGACAATCCACTCTTTAACCCAGCAAAGGCACGAGGCTTCATAATACAACTTCAAATTTGGAACCGCAAATCCTCCCCTATCTCTTTGATCTGTGAGTAATTTGAATCTAATTCTTGGCCTCTTTCCTTGCCAAATAAATTTAGAGAGTACTTTCTGCCAATCGTTAAATACTGAGGTCCCCCTGATTATCGGTATATTTTGAAATAAGAACAACAATTTCGGTAATAAGCTCATCTTAATTGCTGCCATTCTTCCCGACCAAGAGAGTTTTATTCTGTTCCAGGTATCCAGGTCCTTCCTTATTTCTTTCCATGTGTTTGTGTAGTTGTCTTCCATTAAATTTATATTCTTCATCGTTATCCAAATTCCGAGGTATTTTACTTTTTTAGTTGCTTTGATCCCAGTCTGTAATTCAAGATGGTTTTTTTACCTCTTCTATCATATTTTTAGTCATCATTTTAGTTTTTGTTCTATTTAGTTTAAAGCCAGGATAACTTTCCAAATTCTTCTAGCAAATCTAACACTTTACCGACACTTTTTTTTTGGATCTTCCAGCGACAACATAAGATCATCAGCATATGCTTTCAATTTATATTATTTCACTCCAATGCTTATTCCGTGTATCTCTGAAGTTTTCCTTATCTTATTTGTAATTATTTCTAACACCATAATAAACAAAAGAGGTGACAGAGGGCACCCCTGTCTTGTACCCTTCAAAATTTCAAAGGATTCTGTTAAGTTGTTATTAATAATTAATTTAGCACTTTGTTGTGAATAAATTGCTTTTATTCCTTCCAGGAATGTGCCCTCTATCCCTGCCATTTCCAAACATTTTATTAGAAAATGCCAGGATACATTGTCAAAAGCCTTTTCGGCGTCTATGAACATTAATACAGCGGGAATTTCATTTTTGCATTCTAGGTATTCAATAAGATTTATTATATGTCTTATGTTGTCTTTTATTTGCCTTAGGTAAGAAACCGGCTTGATCATTATGAATGAGATTGACTAAGCACTTTTTAAGTCGACTCGCCATTACATCTGCAAAGATCTTATAATCATTATTTAATAATGAAATCAGTCTGTAGTTCTTAATATTAAGTTTATCCGAGTCAGGTTTAGGTATTAGCGTGATGTATGCTTCTTTCCAGGATGCTGGTATTCTTCCTCCTCTTAAAATCTCATTCATTACTTCACAAAGTGTTAAGAGTTCTTCTAGGACTTTGTAGTACTTGGCCAATAAGCCATCTGGCCCCGGAGCTTTCCCCAGTTTCATCTTCTTTATCGCCTCCTGAATTTCCTCTACTTTTATGGGTTTATTTAATAGACTTCTTTCCTCCTCCGATAGACTGTTGATTCTGTTTTCTTCTAGATATTTTCCTATTTCTGTTACATCTTCTTCTCTTTTATATAGATTTTCATAGAATTTAAGGAAGCTCTTTTTTATTTCATTAGGATCCTCCAAGACTTGTTCTTCTACTTTTACTTTATTGATCACATTTTGTTTTCTCCTTTTTCTTAATTGCCATGCCAGGAATTTTCTAGTTTTATTTGCAGACTTGAAAAATTTTTGTTTCATTAACTTAATTCCCCATTCCACCTCTTGATTTATTAATATTGAATATTGTGTTTGTAACATCTTATACAATTGCTTATTTCTTTCATCATTCGGTTTCTCTATCAGGTTCTTTTCACATTCTCTTAGTTGGGTAATTAACTCTTCTTTTTTTTGTTCTCTCACCTTTTTTCTATAACTATTTTGTTGTATCAAAAAACCTCTTAGCACTGCCTTACTAGCATCCCAGACTATATCCATATGTGTTTCTTTATTAATCTTTAGATCAAAGTAGTCTTTCAAGGTGGTTTTAGCCTTTTCAATCACTTCCTCTTTTTCAAATAAATAATCATTCATTCTCCATCTGTACATACCCTGGGTCTCCCATTTTAAATGTAACATTATTGAACTATGATCAGATAGTGTTCTGGGTTGTATCTCACATTTCAACACTCTTATTGTTAATTCTCTTGAGATCCAAATCTGATCCAGCCTGCTCCAACTCTGATGTGGCTCTGAAAAGTGGGTGAATTGTTTCGTCATGGGGTTTTTATGTCTCCATATGTCTATTAAATCTAAGTTTTCCTCAAGGTCGTTAAACGATCTTGGAAGTTTCCCTTGATTTAAATTCTTCCTTTTAGTGCTTCTGTCTAGTTCTGGTATAGGCACTCCATTTAGATCTCCAAGTAAAACCAATTTATTATTCTCTAGATCCAGTAAAACTTGTTCCAATTTCTTTAAAAAATTCTGCTTTGTTTGTATTTGGCGCGTAGACCGTTACAACATTGAGTTTTTCTCCCTGGTAGTTAATTTGTACTCCTAGGATTCTTCCTTCCTCGTCCTTGCATACTAATTTAGGTTCTAATTTCTCCTTCACATAAATTACTACCCCTCTTCTTTTCTTAGAATCTGAATTGATAAACTCTGTTCCCAACTTTTTATTTATTAAAATATGTTTGTGTTTTTTGGCGATGTGTGTTTCTTGGCAACAAATCACATCAATATTTTTTCCTTTACAATTTTCTCAAATTTATTTCTCTTAGACTTTTCGTTAAGACTGTTCACATTCCAAGACAAAAACTTAAGGGTCATTTCAATATTTAACTCGCGTACACTTTCCCTAATTTCTAATTTAAATTCTAGTACTTCTATTTCCAATGGCTTCTTCGTCTTCCCCCTCCTCCTCCTCCCCCGATTCCAGCTCCTCTACTTCTTCCTCTGCCTCTCTTCCTCTCCTCTCTGTCCCTTCAGCCTCCTTCCCCCTTCCTCCCCTCCTCTCCTCTATGCTCATCTCTCCTCCTCCAGGTCTTTCTTCTTCTTTTCCAAGATCCTTTTCATATCTTCTCAGAAACTTTTCCACTTCTTGTGTGTCTGTCAATTTAAACCTTTTGTTCTAATAAAAGAAGGAGATCCCTTCTGGGAATTCCCATTTATACTGTATTGTATTTCTCTTCAGAACATATGTTATTCGTCTATATCCTTCCCTTTTGCGCAGAATCCTGATTGGAATTTCTTTAAAAATAATAATTGGGCAACCTCCAATCCTTAACTTTCTTTGGTAGCTTGTTCTTAGTATTGTGTTCTTCATTTCAATTGAGTTAAATATGACTAAACAATCACCGGGAGTTTTTTTGACTTAATTTGTTGGGATTTCACTCTTATTCTGAACGCACTTTCTATCGTGTATGCTACTTGTTCTTCTTTTATCTCCAACCATTTTGCAAGTTCTTTGATCATTTTTTCTCTTATGTTCTCGTTTACTTCTTCTGCTACATCTCTAAATTTTAAATTGAGTTGTTTCTGACGCATTTCTGTCATGGCTAGATTGTCCCATAATTGATCTTGCATTTTATTTAAGTCTTTTATTTCTTTCTTTAATTTTCTGTCTCTTTCTTTTGGTCCTTCAATTCTTTTTGAGTTCTTTTATTTGTTTCTTCAATTATTTTTGACTTGACTGTCAAGTCTTGTATCTTACTAGAGAGTTCTCCTACAGCACCTTCTATTTTCCTGTCTATCTGTTCCTGTATCTCTCCTAATTTGCTTTCCATATGTAATTCACTTTGCTTAAATTCCTCCTTAATCTTTAACCATAGAATGTCTAAATCTCTGATTTCCTCTTGTCGGGATGCCCTTCTCTCTCCTGGCGTCCCTCCTGCTTTTTTCCATTTTTTCCCAACATTTTGTGGTTAATTTCTCAGTAATCAACTTTAATTTCGACTCTCTCCCCTAGGGGGTGCACAATCTCTCTTTTACCCTTTCTGCATTTTCAACACTTTTATCTATCTGTTCTTATATCACTTTCCTTATATCTCTTTGTTTTCCTTAGTATCGCGTCCCCCTTAAATTCAATCCAGATTTTATGCCCAAAAGAAAAGAGAAGTCTTTCATTAACTTATTCAATATTGTCCGATCCCACTAGCCTTATCAATAACCTTTATGCCATCATAAATTTGATTGTATTAGTATGTTAGTATGTTAGTTCCAAAAACAAAAGAGCAAAGAACAAAAATATAGACAAAAATCAAAAGTGGTAGTCTCTTTTTGTAGTCCACGGAAAGTTGTTCAGTCTCTATCAAATTCTGTAATTTCAGCCACTTGTCGGCCTAATCCAGTTCACAAAGGATGTTTCAGACATTCAATGCCGTCTATTACCTCAGGTCCTAAATTCTGTTAAGTCAGTCTTTGTAATCCGGGGGGGATGTATATATCTCAATAAGTATTCAACAAAATATTAAAATGTAGCCTCATCGCAGGAGGAGAAAGGAAAAGAAAAAAGAAAGAGAGGTCACATGGAAGAGGGAGTATGCTTGTTTTCTCCTGCTCTGGATGGTAGGACTCGAACCAATGGCCTCGAGTTGCAAGAAAGGAGTTTCCGACTAAACATTTGGAAAAACTTCCTGACAATAGGAGCTGCTCAGCAGTGGAACAGTCTCCCACAAGAGGTGGTGGACTCTCCTTCCTTGGAGGTTTTTAAGAAGAGTTTGGGTGGCCATCTGTCATGGATGCTTTGGCTGAAATTCCTGCATTGCAGGGGGTTGGACTAGCTGTCCCTTGGGGTCCCTTCCAACTCTAAGATTCTATGATTGCCTTGCTCCACATGTGCCCACTCTACCCCTTTGCTCAGCGGAACTGGCTCTGTTACAAATGCCACACAATGCCTGGCCTGCATTTGCAAGAAACCGATCTTTTAGTATGGCACCCCCTACCCTTTGGAATTCCCTGCTTATTGGTATCAGGCAAGCAGCTGTTCTCACTGTACTCTTTTCCACACCTGCTGAATAGCATTTTTGTTTAAGCAAGCCTTCCCAGATATGCAGATCGCTATTATTATTATTATTATTATTATTATTATTATTAGTCAATTGCTGTTTTTAATTTTTTTGAATGTCTTAAACAGTTGTTTTGTTTTTACCAATAATTGTATTGTTTTATTCTTTTAGTAAAAAAGCTTTGCAGTGTATAGTTTTTTAAAAAAACAAATAAACAAATATGGTGTGCTTGCCTTGAAGATGAATATTGCAAAGACCTAGGGTGGGAGCAAGGCAGGACAGTGGCTGGTCCAGTCCTATGGAATGTTCTGCCAACAGAAATTCAGCAGGGCACTTTTGTTTCAAGTCCACTGGAAACGTTTCTGTTCCATCAGGCTTAAGCAGGCAATTAAGAATACAGTGGTACCTCAGCTTACATATGTTTCAGGTTACATATGCTTCAGGTTACAGACTTCCACTAACCCAGAAATAGTACTTCAGGTTAAGAACTTTGCTTCAGGATGAGAACAGAAATCATGCTCCGGCGGCACAGCAGCAGCAGGAGGCCCCATTAACTAAAGTGGTGCTTCAGGTTAAGAACAGTTTCAGGTTAAGAAGGGACCTCCGGAACGAATTAAGTACTTAACTCGAGGTACCACTATACATGTTTCCACAATAGCCATCCAATTATTATTTTTTAACTTTTACTTATGGTTTCTATCATATGTTTTTATGTACTGTGGTTGTGAGCGATATCTCCGTCATGAATTAGTGGCATGCTGTATTCTTATAAATGAATAGATTTGAAAAACAGTGAAGAAATGGGGGAGAGTAAAATGCAAAAACTAATCAAACTTGTTACCCATCTTCAAATATCACACTGAAGATGGGGCAAGCATGTTTCTCGCTGGCTGTTCCAGAGGGCAGGACCAAACATTAGGGAAAACTTTCTGATGGTAAGAGCTGTTCAGCAGTGGAACGGACTACCTGGGAAAGTGGTGGATTCACATTCATTCGGTTTCTTTAAACAGTTGGATGGCCAATTGTCAGGGATTCTTTAGCTGTGATTCCTCTATTGCAGGGGGTTGAACAAGATGACCAGGGGAGGCACTACCTTCCCACTCTACAATTCCACAGTTCCAAGATCCCATGACTCATGGATCCACTTTGGTTCAAATCAAATTGAGGGCATCATTTCTTGTTCCTTTGAGTGACTGCAGAAAGTAATATGAAGCAGGGCAAAAACACCACCCCATCCCAACTGGTGCTGAGCTCCCAAGCCCAGTGTGTCATCCACACATAGGATAGTTATCCATGGCCTTGCCACTGATCTGACTTATGGTCTCTCTCACCCACCTACAGTGCTTTCAGTCAGGATGACGATGCAGGTCTCTTCAGTGCCTGAACACGTCTTCTTGTCACCTGCACAAGTGGTAGCATTGCTAAAGCAGGTTTCACACTCCAGAGAAGCACCTATGAGGGGAGGGGGGGGAACGAAACATAATGAATGCATGTTTCATCCAGTCATTAGGCATTAATCCTTGCTAACTTGTCACTGGGTGTGGAAGAAGAACTGGACAACAAGAGTTCAGGAAGGCAGCAAGGCCATCTGGTCCACGTGTCAGCCATGTGTGCTCTGTCAGTCTATGACTGCAGAAGCAGGCTAGGTCCCGTTAAATGCAGAGGCTCCTCTCCTGGAAAGCAGAGCTAGTAATGTAAAGATAGAGCTACAGCTCTTATTTGATGCTCAGTCTGAAGATGCCGTCTGAATAGACTCTCCAGCCTGAGCCCTGTGTGGAGCTGTCCAAGGTAGCTGTGAAACGCTGCCTCTGTGCTGTTGAGGCCATTGCCCCAAACAGAGCAGTCTGAGTTTTCCAGTTCCTACTGCTGGACTCCATATGGGTGCTACTTCTAAGTGAGCCCAAATCAGAGACAGGGGGGACCTTTTGGCATCACAGCACAACGAGGGACATACAGGAGCAGTCAGGATAGTTGCTGTTTTTTTAAAAAAAATGTTTTCAAAGGGAAAATTGGACGGGGGAATGAAAAACGTTTTGCCATCACAGCAGTGGAACGACAGTAATGATGAATAAGCAGTACATGTGAAAAGGATCTAGGAGTCTTGGTTGACCACAAACTTGATATGAGCCAACAGTGTGACGCGGCAGCTAAAAAAGCCAATGCAATTCTGGGCCTCATCAATAGGAGTATAGCATCTAGATCAAGGGAAGTAATAGTGCCACTGTATTCTGCTCTGGTCAGACCTCACCTGGAGTACTGTGTACTGTGTACTGTACTGTGGAGTACTGAGTACTGTGTCCAGTTCTGGGCACCACAGTTCAAGAAGGACACTGACAAACTGGAACGTGTCCAGAGGAGGGCAACCAAAATGGTCAAAGGCCTGGAAATGATGCCTTATGAGGAACGGCTAAGGGAGCTGGGCATGTTTAGCCTGGAGAAGAGGAGGTTAAGGGGTGATATGATAGCCATGTTCAAATATATAAAAGGATGTCACATAGAGGAGGGAGAAAGGCTGTTTTCTGCTGCTCCAGAGAAGCGGACACGGAGCAATGGATCCAAACTACAAGAAAGAAGATTCCACCTAAACATTAGGAAGAACTTCCTGACAGTAAGAGCTGTTCGACAGTGGAATTTGCTGCCAAGGAGTGTGGTGGAGTCTCCTTCTTTGGAGGTCTTTAAGCAGAGGCTTGACAACCATATGTCAGGAGTGCTCTGATGGTGTTTCCTGCTTGGCAGGGGGTTGGACTCGATGGCCCTTGTGGTCTCTTCCAACTCTATGATTCTATGATTCTATGATTCTAAGGGTTTTTCAAGCTATTTTTTTTATTTAAAAAATAAAAATTTGGAGGAGGGAATTTGGGAGTGCAAAAAAAGTCAGCGGTTGTGTGTTAGCCACCCTGTTGCAGCTACTAAAGATGTGGCCAGTTTTTAGCTCACTTACTTTCTTACGGGGTCTTTGGAAGAGGGGTTGGTTGTTAAACTACCCCACAAAATGTAGCTCTGTGAGGGGAATGGGAGGGGGTGTTCTCCTGAGAACTCTCTGCACCCTTAACAAACAGCAGTTCCCAGAGTTCTTTGGGAAGCCACAACTATTTGATCCAATAAGATGGTGCTTTAAACATGTAGTGCAAATGGGACCTTGGTGTCTTCCTTGCTCTCTTACCCCCCCCAGTCTCCACAATTGCCTGCCTAATAAAATATCATGTTTAACCTACTTCCTTTTGCATTATATGCTTGCTCAGTGAAGTCATAGAATGAAGACCATGTCTGCTGCAGAAGACGTTTCTCTTCTGCTTCATTTGCTTTTAACCGAGAGTCAGAGTCAAAGCCCTGTTCTAAGAGTTGTTTTAAGAACTCAATTCTTCACCCACCACAGACTAGCTGGAACCCAGCCTGAATCATCCCACACTCCCATCCACACACACAAAGACAGGAGACCCCAACTGCCTTGGAAGGTGGAGAGAACTGGGAACACCCACCCCGCAAATGCTCACTTGGTATCTCCCCTTCCTTTTTAATCTACCTGCAGCGCCTCCTTACCTGATGTTACCAGTGCCAAAAAGAGGCTCAGTTTCAGAAGAGTCTGCATGATGGTGGTTGTGGTCGGTATAGCAAGTACAGACACTCCTTCTGCAATGCTTCAGTGGGCCTGCAATGGCATCCAGAAGGAAGATTTATTCAAAGTGCAATTGCACACAGCTCCCTTATAAATCCTTGTTAATGATTAGGGCAGATGGGTGGAGGAGATCAATGAGAATTGCTAGGATTCTGATACAAGCATTCAACTTCAGCGAAATGTTCTCTAGTCAAAATTTCCCAGGACTTTTTCTCAACCCCATCCTCATTTATTCTCCAATAATATTTTCCACAATTTCTTAATTTATCGTGGCTGCCATTTCTCCCTCCTCCTTCCTATCCACCAACCATGCCCTGGAATTCTAGGTCCACAGTACTGCAAAGGAATGATAACCAGACTGCCAACAGCTATTGCTCCTGCTCTCGCCCCTAGGAGAAAATGAAAGCTCTGGGGATGCCCCTCCTAATGGTGAGCTCCACTCCAAGAAACTGTTGGAATATGGTGGAGAAAGCCACATTGAGGTCTGTTCCTGGAACATACAGTCAGCTGCTTGAAAATCCAAGGTGCCCTCTATATTGTAACACATCACTCATACTACCACATGCCATCGCTTGACAGAATCTGAGGCTGCCTTTGATGGTGATAGCCCACAGTTCACACAAGGTACTTGGAGCCATTCTTACCCTTATTCCAGCAATCAGAAAAACTGGCATCATATGGTACCCTGAGGCACTACCACAGGAATGGGGAAACCAATTGTTCTCTAGATGGTGTTGGCCACACTCTCTCATGGGAGTACAAAAAGGAACCTTTCCTGTCCGGCAGGCCAGATCCTTTTCCTCCCACACCTGGCAGGCTAAAATTGACTGATGGTTGAGGCCACCACCTGTCTGTAATGTAATGTCTCTATGATGTTAGATGATGATGTTTCTCCTGATTGTCAGTGAGACTTGAAAGTACAGCATTGGGTCCCTATGTGGTGGACATGTGAAAAAACAAGCTAAAGCTTTCTGGGGAAATGATATATAATGAAATGAAGAAAATGTTTAAATGGGCTATTCCCCCAAAACTTTTCTTACATATATAATAGACATGGATGTTCCAAAGAAGATGACTAAACTATTTATGTATGTGACAGCAGCAGTAGCTAGAATATTATGTGCACAGAAATGGAAAAAAGAGAAGGTTCCAACGAAGGAATAGCTTAAGAAAGTAATGGACTATTCAGAAATGGCAAAGCAGGCAGCAAAACTAAGAGATCAAAATGATGAAGTTTTTATAGAAGAATGGAGGCCGTTCATTGATTATATTTTAAAATGTTACAGTCAAATGAAATTGCAGGAAGGATTTGAGATAAAAGTGGAAGAAAAATGGCAAAAGAATTGTAATAGAGAATTTGTTGTAATAGATAAAGATACAATGCAGTAGAAAAGTTTTGAGTAAAAACATTGTGCAGGCAGGGGTGGGAAGTCCACTTATGAAACAAGGTTATTGTGAAAAAGTTTGGAAATTTTACTAAAATTATATATAGTGCAGCATTGGGCTAATTGGAAGGCCTTTGGCAAACAGCCCTGAGCTGCTCTTTAAGCCTCCACAAAACCAAAGGTTGAAAGAGCCATACAGGACTGTGTGCAGAAGGGCTTTCAAATAGCCCTTTTGCTGCCTTTCAGAGCAGCACCCAGCAGGATTGGAGTCCCTGCTCATCAGCCGAGGAGAGGAGACTTCCATCCTGCTCCCTGCAGGACTTTGCTTCGCCAGTGCACTCTCCAAAAGGAACCCATGGGTGAAGGAGCATCCAGGAGGAGGTGGGTCAAATCCTGCTGCTCTGCCTATGTGTATGCCCATTCCCTGTGGAGAACGGGTGCAGGCAGCCAACGCAGAATTGAACCCTGGCATGCCCTACTCATCAACTCTTGTTGCCTGCCCATTGGAATGCCATCAGCTGATTGGCAGGTAGGTTTGGCTCAGGGGAATAAAAAAAGCCTAAGGAAGCGAAGGGGTGAGGGAAATCTCCCTTGCTCTGTGGTGGCATGTCATACAGGCCACAGAGTAGATCAACACAGCGTGAAGTCTCCCCAACCCACTCAAGAGCCATCTAAATTCACCTCTAGATGGAGGCCTTCATCTTGATGGAATGGAACTCCTGGTGTTTGAAACTCATGCCTAGCAAACAGCAGCAACTGTCACAAAGGCTCCTAAGATTCCATGTTCCTTAAAGTGAGAGCCCCCTTTTTGTTTTCATGATGAGGGAAAAGGTGAATGGCAGGGGACAGAGAGGTCCACTCTGCTGGTCGTCCATCTCAAGCTGGTTCTGCAGGCTTTGGGAACAAAGGCTGGTGCATTGGAGTGAACGGGGCATGGACAACCAACGTCAGCCTGCTTTCAGCTAGTCCCCACTTGTGCTTGCTTTCTTACAACCAACCAGAGGGTGACTCTACCATTGGTCCCTGCCTCCCAAGCCACAAGTCCCAATGGGTACCAACCACCACTGGAGTCAAGCTTGGAGCATCTGTGACCCATCATTTGCAAGCACCACCAGCCCAATCCTGTACGCTATCTTGGCATCTGGCACAAGGACATATCACACCAACGGACACAAAGGAATATATTGTTTCTCAAAAGTGCCAAACATTATTAGATATTTCACCCCCATGTGAACTGGCCTGCGCCCTGGGATTGTCATCTGAGTCCTTTCTCCATGGGCCACCTCCAAGGGATGGCTAGAGGATGGTAATGAGAGAGCAGGCCTTTTCTGCAAGAACTTCCATTTCTGGTGCCAACTTTACCACTGTTTTGACACCACACAAAGATGTTCTTATTTCCCCAGGCATTTGAGCAGGTCAAACTCTCAGGCGCTTTTAATCTGACTGCATTTTAAAATATGTTTACATGGTTTTGTGAGGTGGTTATAAATCACTTTGGGACTTTTCATTGCAGGAAGCAATCCCCTCAGTAAACTTGACCTAAAACTGAGGGCACGATGCATTGTTTTAGTGTTGTTAGCCGCCCTGAGCCTGGCTTCGGCTGGGGAGGGCGGGATATAAATAAAATTTATTATTATTATTATTATTATTTCTGAAGTGTTGTTTTTTTCTTCTGCAGGGGCAGCCTTGAATACTTTGAGTTATATTAAATGTTGGAAAGTCATACAGGGAACCAGGCAGAAGGCCTTCTCGGTAGTGGCACCCGCCCTGTGGAATGGCCTCCCACCAGATGTCAAGGAAATAAACAACTATCTTACTTTTAAAAGACAGCTGAAGGCAGCCCTGTTCAGGGAAGTTTTTAATGTTTAATGCTGTATTGTGTTTTTAATATTTGATTGGGAGCCGCCCAGAGTGGCTGGGGAAACCCAGCCAGATGGGTGGGGTATAAATAAATTATTATTATTATTATTATTATTATTATTATTATTATTACTGCACACTATTATTTTCCTGCTTTGGTCGATGTAAGGCAGGGGTGGGGAACTGGGTGGCAGTTCAGATCATGTGTGAGTTTATTCAGCTCCGGCCCATCTGGAACTGATACGGCTCATCTGTCCTGAGCCCAGCAGAGTGTAGTCTGCAATGAAAGGATGAGACCGGTATGGCTACATTGCTATTTTATTTCACTATACTGAGAACACACAAATGTACATCTTGCCTCTGTGAGAGCAGAGAGCAACTCTCTCAACAAAGAAACGACAGAACAAAGGAACAGGAAACCAGTGTACGTCACATCCAGTCTCCCTTTCCTGTGAGAACCCAACAGTAACTAAACTGTGGAGTGTAAACATTGTCTTGTGACATGCAGCTGCTGCTCAGTGAGGGAAGCAGAAACCAACAATGAGCTCCCCCTCCCATCATAGGCCAAGCTCAGCAGGTGGGGGGGTAACTCACCTGACATCACAATGGCACCTGGTGACATGTTATGCCCACAAGGGGTCTTCAGAAGCCCCGTTCAAAATACTACATTGTACAGCAGTGCTTTGAAAGGCTCTTCTGAAGATCTGACATTTTGCCTTTCTTTCTGAATGACTTTCCTTCTTGAAACCAAGACTGACAGTGCCTGCAGACCCCCTTTCGGTTGAGCCAGGTTTTTGCCCGCCTCACATTTGACGTGTGGGGCAGGTAGATGTGGCTTGGCTGAAATGGCCTCAACAGGCTAAATGGAGAAGCCTGGTGGGGATAAGTAGGCTTGTGGACCGGAGGTTCCCCACTCCTGAAATAGTGCTGACACCTATCTATCACTAGTCATGAAGGCAATATTGCCATCTAGTGACTAAAACATAAAGCTGTTTTCAAACAATGGTTCCTTCTGCACCTTAAACTGTTGCTGAGGCTGATGCAGCAACAGTTTGTGCTTACAATCAACTAGGATCCTCATACCAAGCATTCCTTGAGACTTCTAAGAAATAATAATAATTTAAAAAATCAGTGCAGTTTTTAAATGAGTGGTTAAAATCAGTGTAGTTTTGAAAGGTTCAGTCCGCTACTATGATTCAAAATGGCATCCACCCATATTCAAACATAGACAAAACCTTAATCCTTGACTTTGGATTTTGGATCATGCAAAATCTGGCCACAATATCTGAACTGGTGTCCAAATGCATAGAGAATAACCAACTTTCCAAAACATAGTAGAATAATTCATTGGTGCTTGAGAAATGCTTTAGTCACCAGATGGCATTAAGCCCCTCACCAACTGGGTCTCTGCTTATTCCTTCGAGCCATTGGGAGAAATAAAAGACTGATTAAATTGCTTGGATAGTTGGTTAGAGTGTGGTGCTGATAGCACCAAGGTTGCAGATCCCCGTAAGGGACAGCTGCCTATTCCTGCATTGCAGTGGGTTGGACTAGATGATCCTCAGGGTCCCTTCCAACTCTGCAATTCTGTGATTCACTACTGTCAGTTGTGAGGAGCTGGAGGAACTCTGCACTAAAATAAAATGTCTTTCTGCTACAACGGTCTAATTTTTTCCTAGCAAATAAACACAGCTGCCATGCATTTAACATGTCATTTGTTTTAATCCCAATATTAATTTTCACTGAGGGAAGCAGTAAAGGCCAAAGTGCATTCAGAGGAAGTGGTTCATGGGTGAAAGAGGAGGCAGAATTCAATGGGAGAGTTGATGCGATCTCATGCAGGCAACTTTTACAACAGGATTCTCCGCAGCAGGAGCCCAGAGAAGCTTGGCAAGAGGACAGCAGTGGGTTGAGACGCCTTGGAAGACTCCATCTTATGAACGACATCATAGCCAACCGTAAACTCAGAGTGTTTGCTATTTCCCGAAGCACACACAAACCTCGTAGTGCAGCCGTTCGAAAGCCTCTCCGTGGGGGTTTCATCTGGATATGGAAGACAAGATATGGGTTGCCGGGACATTATTGCTTGCGACTGCTCTACAAATTGCCCCATCTACTCTGTTTGAAATGAACCCTGTGTTTGCCACAAAGTGAGGCCTATCTACTGCTCACCAGTAGAGCTCAGCCCATCTATCCAAAGCCATTGACTTGCGTGGAAATGACCCACAACCCTGATCCAGCTCCATTCATTCCATTTTTAAAATTATTATTTACAACATAAATCCATCACAACTCAAATAAACGAATCCACCACCATTAGACATGAACATAACATAAAATAAACATTAACATAAAACAAACAACAAAATAAAAGACTTCCTTTAACCTGTACATGGCCTTCTTATTTACTTCTTGTGAACTGTTTTGTTTATGGGTTATTATTAAGACTTTTTTCAAATTATGACTTAAAAAGAAAACCACAAAGTCTCCTGCAGACATTAATCAAAACAAGTCCAGGTGTGTATTTTAGGGCACTGTTTTGTGAAGAATTCTTTACATTTTCCCCATTCTTTTTGAAATTCTTGTCTGGGGAGTGCCCTAATTGCCTCTGTTAATCTGGCCAATTCGATATAGTTTAGTAAATTTATCTTGCCATTGCATTTTTGTAGGCACGAATTCCTTTTTGCAATTTCTGGCAATTAAGGTCGTTTCATTCCAATGGGACTTTTTGCAAGAGACCTTCCTGTAGATTGTGTCTCACGTGCCTCAAATCTCCCTCGCTCTGCCACCTAAGGGTAACCCAAATCCAGTATGTGCGGCAGTTGTCTCACCTTGCCTCAAGGAAGAACCTTCATGTAATAACAACAACAATACTTGCAAAGACCTCTCTTCATTAAAAACCCAAGAGCAGTTTACACAATAAGACATTAAAATAAAACAATATCTTAACAAGTAAATGGCAAAACCAAAATACTACAATGTGTTGGAACCATCCGCACCCATACTTTCCGCCCCCTAAATCTGGAGATTCCCCACCCAATTGATGTAGCTCTGCTATTTAGATTTTCAAAGTGTAGGGTATCCCAGGATATAGAGAGGAGAATGTGTGGAACAGCGGTAGTTGGAGGAGAACACCTATCAGGGACTGTACTGAGGAGGAATGGTGGGAGCTGCCGCCCCCTTTTTCTGAACCTTCCCAAGCGCAGGAGGATAGTATTGATTTAGAACAGTGGTTTGCAGAAGGGCATAGTCCAGAGGGGGAAAGCTGGGAAATACTGGGTGAGGAGCAGCTAGAAGAGGAAACGCTAGAAGAGAGACAGCTGGCAGATTCAGTGTCCTTGGACAGCACTCCTAAATGGAGTTGGGGGGGAGAGATGTTTTGATTTATGAAATTATCTTTTATTTCTAAGATGCTGAGCTTGTGCTGGACAACACGAGACATTGCATGGATATTTGGGGTGTATCTTTGATGCTCATGTGATGCTTTTTTGTAGAGTTCTGCCAGTAAAACTTCAAATTATATTTTGATGTGTCTGGACAATGCTTCATATTTCCAAAAGGAGCCCGTTCTTATGCTTCCAGTTGCTCCAAACCGTGCTATATCAATATCTGCAATAAAAATCCACCCGCCTACAGTTTGCGGAAGAAATGAAGCTGCACTGCGGAAGAAATCACTTACTGGAGGCCCTGCCAAAGCCGTTGGTTTCCACCTTGGTACAATTTGCCATCTCAGTGCTGTAAGTGTCTGAGCAGGAGGAATTGGATGGGTTTGGCGTTGTATTGGCTCTAGGCTTTAGTGGTGGCACTGAAAACAGAAACAAAAGATACTCCAGGTCAGCTCAAGGACTGGACCAAAAAGCAATGAAGAGCAGGGGAAGTGGGGAGGTGGGGACCTTTTTCAGCCTGAGGGTCATGTGAGCAAACAGCCTGAGCCTTCACCATTTCCTTAAGTCAAGTTGTCATGTATCTCCTGGCCCCCACCCTCAGAGCTACAATTCCCAGGGCGGTTTCACAGTCAACCCCTCTTCCCAGGGAACTCTCTTGAAATGGAAGCACCTTCTGCTTTTGGTCTTCCTGAATGCAGAGCCTTGGAGCACACAGTGGCTTAAAATTTCCCCTCCCATTGCCAGGCGCCAGCTAATCTGACACACACACACCCCGCCACAGTAGGACTGCCAGGAATAGATAGATAAGGAAAGCTCTTACCAAGGTCTTTTATTCAATATTCACAGAACGAGGCTTAGAAATGCAGCCTCTTGGAGTAATGACATTGCTCTGAGTAATCTCCACCCCACTTCTCTTCTCAATCGTCAACAGCACCACCCACCTTATGATGCCCGCTTAGGGCCATTTGCCTCCAAGCCTTTTACTTTCCTACTTTCAATGGGAGAAGGCGGGTCTGGAATGCTTTCTAGAGATAACGTGTCAGCCAGCTGCTCCGGCTCTCCTTCCCCCTCCTCCTCTTCCATTATTTCCCAACTTTGCCCCTCGTCTGCCTCTGAGCCGTAACCTTTGTCAAACAACTGTTGTAAATCTATATTGTCTTCCTCTTCTCTGGAAGGTTCAGGAGGGGGAGGTGGTCTCCACCATTCTGACACCCATGCCTATTGGGTGACTCTAGGTTGCTGGACACGGAGACCCTTTGTAACGAATGGCATGGTTTGTGTGGGCCTAAAGATGGCTGAAGAACACCACAAAATGGATGTGATGTCTTTGAACTATCAGTGAACTGATCATGAACTGTGTTGTATAAGAGCTAATGGAATGTGGAAAACATCATGATGTTTTGGCAAAAATGGTGTGCGCTAGGAATGGTACAGAACAGCACATACAAGAAGGCATGGAGATGGGCTACACAACATTACCTTTGAGGTAAGATAAGAGTTGTGAGATGATGCCAAGGACAAGGATGTGAGATGCCAAAAACAAAGAGTAAGGACTTGTGTAATGCCAAGAATCAGATGAACAAGGTGTATGTATGGCAAAGCCCTCCAGATGTGTGCCAGACATTTGACAGCGCTGTCGCCCGCCACCCGTGGCTCTTACTGAACCTGATCAATTTAGTGAAGAGTGGTGAATATGAAAGGTGTATGAATGGATGTATGGTTGAGTGCATATTCCTTGCCTTGACATGTGAGTTAATCAATAAAACTTATTATAGAGACAATCCAATATGGGTTGTCTGAGGTTTACTTGTGCCTTCCTAGAGTGTACTGGGTCTCATCTATATTAAACACCTAAACAGATTAAAAGAACCTAATTGGTCATTACACCTTCTGCAGAAGTAGCAGTGGGTCTTCAACCTTCCATGACCCCTGCACCACTGGTTACAGGGAGTGAACGTAAGGAAAGGATAAGGAAATTTTGGGGAGAGGGACCAGCATGAAATTTATATACGTACGTTGAGGAGTGACTTGTCTGCAGGTCTTCCCGGTGCAGCAGACCCAACTGGACCTGTAGGTTCTTCCTCCCCCCATATCAAAGTAAGGTGGTGGGGCATTGCACCAAAAAGTGGAAGCACAGCTTCTCTCTACAGTCTGAACCACCTTTCCATCTTAAGTGGCCAAAAAAAAAGGAGAGAGGTTTATTTAGCAACTAGTAGCTTCATCTCCTGAGTAGCTCTGATTATTAATAGTATTTTTTTTATTTGCAAATTTAACAAAGAAAAGGAAGGGGGGAGAATTAAATACCATAAAAGAAAAAAAGAGAAAGAAAGAATAACATCAGATTAAGGGTGGTATATAAATTTAATAAATAATAAAGTAAAATAAAATAATAGGAACACACAAAAAATATCCATTCTCATTGCAGGTGCATCAACCATCAACACGTGTCTTAAAGTTTAACATCTAAGTTAATATAAGCCCTTCATATGTGCAAATTGATGCAGAATTGAGGCCTATTGGAAATATGTTCAAATGCAGGCAGGGCCGTGAGATCCTCAGCCCATTGTGAACCAAACACAGGGCATTTATCCTTCCAGGCTTAAATTATAGGTCTCTTAGCAACCATAAGGGCTAACCATCCACTTTTGTTGTTTAGGAATTATAAAACAAACAAAAAATCAGCAGAGTTTGGAAAGGTTCCTTTCCCCACCTTGATTGAAAATGGTTTCCAACTGTACTCAGTAAAGACCAAAACCTACTCCTTGATATCGGGAACTTTCGTGGAAAAATTGGTATCAATATATTAAGAAGTGTCTGAATGGGTATCATAGAATTGCAAGGTTGGAAGGGACCCTAAGGGGCACTTAGTCCATCCAAGAACTTTCCACAATACATAGTAGACTAGCAGAACGCCCATCATTTGTTGGTAGGGTGCATATTGCAAAGACCCAGGGGTGCTCTCCCCCAGCCAACACACAGGCTCTCGGTCACTTATGTGTGAGTCGCACGAGGAGTATTCACAAGTTACATTCAACTCATATACAGCCATACCTCGGGTTACAGACGCTTCAGGTTGCATTTTTGGGGTTATGGACCCACCAAAACCCGGAAGTACCGGAACGGGTTACTTCCGGGTTTTGGGGGGTCACGCATGCACAGAAGCACCAAATCTCAACCCGCACATGCGCAGACGTGCCACTGCGGGTTGCAAATGCTTCAGGTTGTGAACGTGCATCCCGCATGGATCACGTTCGCAACCCGAGCATCCACTGTATAGGGCTGGGTGATATCTGGTTTTCAGCATCATGATATACCACCAGCTTACCATTGTGATAGAGTGATATATCACGATGTCTGAAATAACACAGAAAAAGGCTGAAAAGTGGCTGGGCTGTGGAGGGAGGAGCAACCAGGAGGAAGGGAAGGGGGCTGCCCACTTGCTCAGGTGAAGGAGCTCCTGCTCATTCCCTCCCTTCGCAGCCCAGCCTTGGCAGAGGAAGGCCGAGAAGGTGCTCCATCTGCCTGCCTTCACCTGAGCAAGCGGGGCAGGCTGCTTTTTTCCTCCTGGTCGGGAGAACAGGCAATTTGAGCTGGCAGTACATCATGGCTCCCCGGCCGCCTCATGCACAGAACAGGCTGGCAACCAGATGGGAGTGACATGCCCTCCAATATTTCTCTGATGAATGTAGGGACGTCCCATTCCATAATAATAATTTTATTATTTGTACCCCACACATCTTATTGGGTTGCCCCAACCACTCTGAGCAGCTTCCAACATATATAAAAACATAATAAAACATAAAACTTTTTTTAAAAAACTTCCTTATACAGAATTGCCTTCGGGGGTCGGATAACACCATACCCTCCAACACTTCTCCAATGAAAACAGGGACATCCTCTGGAAAAGTGGGACATTCCAGGATCAAATCAGAAACCGGGACAACTTCTCTAAATCAAGGACATCCCTGGGAAATAGGGACACTTGGAGAATCTGGAGTGAGATGCACTCCACTTGCAGTGGCCAGGGAGCTGTGATGGATGCATCACCAGCTCAAAAAGTCTGGCCAGTATCACGACCTGAACTTCATAGAGGTTTCAGACGATGAATTGAAACATCGCCCAGGTCTACTAGTGTACAATCTGTGTACCTGTGCACCCAAATAGTTGACCTTCCATGACAAAAAGGTGGATGACATACAGATGATATAGATCCAAAATGTGAGGAACATTTTGTTCTCCAGATGTTGCGGAACTACAACTCCCACCATTCCTAACCATTGCTTGTGCTTGCTTGGGGCTGATGGGAGTTGTAGTTCAGCAGCATCCAGAGGACCATGGGTCCTCCCCATCACCACTTTTCTTGACCAAAAGATAAGAGCTTCAATCTCAGCCTCTGGAAAGGCATCGTGAAACAGAACGCAATCTGCCACCCTGGCCATGCAGAGCCCCATACTGAGCTGAAAAGTCCACTGTGCCATCTATACAGGCAGCAGCTGTCAGTGGTCTTGCCTAAGCCCACCCACTGCCCTGATCTGGCTTGCAACCTCTCCTACCCACCTACGGTGCTTTCCGTCAGTGTGATGAGGCAGGTTTCTTTGTTCCCAGGACAGGTCCGCACGCTGCCAGTGCAATTGGTCCCCTTGGCGGTACAGATTTCGCACTCCAGAGAAGCAGCTGGAAGAGGGAAGGACACTTTTTAAAAATGAGATCAAATGAAGATACTTTTGTGCAGGAATAAGCCATGGGTCACCTACTTTCGGGGTACCCCTGTTTGTGCCCGTTGCAGGGTTCGGGGATCAGCCAGAAAGTAGGAATTTACACACGGATTTAAGGAGAGGCATCAAGTGGTAAAACAGAGGAAGGAAATGAATGATTTTTAATTGTTGTTTCTTGTTGCATCACAGTATGGTACGCTGGTTTGACATCAAGTGATAGGAAGTGCTTACAGAGGGTGGTGAATACAGCACAAGATATTATGGGCTGTCCCGTGAATCCGCTGGATGAAATAGCGGAAGAACGTTGCCTCAGGAGAGTGAGGAAAATTCTCAGGGATGATTCACACCCTGGCCGGCACTTTCTTGATCTCCTGCACTCAGGCAGAAGATATAGAAGCATGATTAGTTGCACCAACAGGGTAAAGAACAGCTTCTATCCGTGGGCTGTTAGGCTGCTGAATGAAAAGATCCACCAACAGCATACAAATCAATATGTCTAACCTGATCCAAAACACCCACCCACCCCACTCACACACAAAAACAAAGATCACCACAGCCAATCACAAACAAACAACTACACCCTAGGCCAACCTCTCTCACCACCACCCGACCCCACCCCCACCCATCTTTCCACCCCCTTTCCCCCCCTAATGTCTCAACAAATGAGACTGATGGAAATTAAGACTAAGAGAGCTGAGTGGGGGGTGCTCATGTAATCTCGCTGTATACAAGTTGTACAAGTGACAATGAAGTATTTCAACTTCTTAGTGTTTCTTAAGCTACTTTGAGGGGGTTTTAAGAAGTGAAAACAGGTGGTGGTGTTATTATTGATGAGGGGGAGTTAAGTGGGGGTTTCCTGCTTCTTCATTTTCATATCTTTGGCTGCTTTTTGTCCCTTCATTCCCAACGGAATGGGCTGGAGCATATTGTGAGCATGGCTTCAATGATTCCTAATAACTGCCACGAATGATCAGTATTGTGGACTACAATCTCCTCTCTGCCCATCCACACATTCAGCTTGAACGTTGTTCCCCACCAGTACCTGATCCTTCTTTCTTACTGGCAAATGGTCACAATTTTTTTTTAATGTTTTCTTTTCTTTGAAGTTTCTAGGTGCACAACTTGAGATAACATGGATGTCTCTACGTCTGATAGGCCTTTCCATATCCTCTTCTGAGTGGCTTCTGGTTTGTTTTTGGTTTTTTAAAAATACTTTTAAGCTACTTTGAGGTGATTTTTTAAAAAAACCCAAAAGCAGGATTTCAGACACAGTATGTTCTCAGTCCTATCTGGAGATGCCAGGAACTGAACCTGAGACCTCTTGCATGCAAAGCCGTTTATTATTTATTATTTATTTTATTTTTAAAATTTGCGTACCATCCTATACCCACAGATCTTTTGCAATGTAAAATCACAATGTGGGAGGGGGGGAAATCCCAGAAAATACAAGTTGCCTTATACCAGGGGTCTGCAATCTTTAAGACAAAAAGAGCCACTTGGACCCATTTCCGAAGAAGAAAAAACCTGGGAGCCGCAAAACCATTGCGACATTTAAAACAAATATAACACTGCATATATTGTTTCTTACCTTAATGTCCAATCTGACAGCAGGTGGGAAGGTGACGTCAGGACGGTGCGTGACTAACGCACGCACCGCCCCCATGCGACGTCACAGCCAGTACAGCGCCCGCCACAGTGGGGAGTGTCGGGGCGCACAATGTGCCTCCTCCCCTCGCTAGTATCCGCCCCGGAGCCGCGGCAAAGGTGTAAAAGAGCCACATGCGGCTCCGGAGCCGCGGGTTGCAGACCCCTGCCTTATACCAATGAGCTACAGACATTTCAGAAAGCCGCATTATCCATCTTGCATCCATACCAATCATGTGACACAAGCTTGGCTCCAAATCTATTCATTCCAGATGGAACAGACCTCCAGGAGGCTCCCAGACCCTCCTTACCTGTCTTTAGAAGTGCAAAGAAGAAGCATTTCAGGGCAGCCTGCATGGTGAAAGGAAATAAGAGAGCACAAGAACAGAAGCTCTCTCCACGATGCATCAAAATGCTTGGTTCAAAGGACCTGCAATGACATACAGAGGAAGTGTCAACATCAGCTGTTAGCTTACCAAAATGTGCATTTACACACGCAAAAACACACGTAAAAAGCCAGGTGACACCAAATTATCTGGGGGAAATCCAAGATTGCAAGAATGGGGATTCCCCTGGCCTTCCAGATGTTATTGGACTTCCTACCAGCCCCAGACAGTTGATCTGAGAAACAAACTAGCTCCCTTCCTTGCACACACACAAAATCAGACTTCTTTTCCATAAGGGAAGTGCCAGAGAAAAGCATGGGGAAATGTGCGCTAACACTTTGGTGATGCAGTATTGTACAGCCTTCCCACAAGCAAATCTCAACAAATGCCCAATAAAACTAAGCAGCCAAGGCTGACGGAGCGCCTCACAATTTTTGCACAAGCAAAACAGAATGAATGCTCAGTGAATGAGCTCTGCCATGCAACCTAAACAAAAACAACACACACACAAACAAGAACAAAAGAAGTATGTTTCTGGATGCCACCGCACACAGAGTGACTGTACCTGGCGGTGCAGGGTCCGGCCGGCGGGGGGGGCACCTTTGCACCTCCTTCACCTTCTAGAGAGATCAAACACGGTGGGTCGTCCCGTGGGATCTTGCAAGAGGGAAGAAGGATGAGGCCTTAAAAGGTCTCACTCACGTGGGCTATGGGAACACTTTGTCTGTAGTGAACTTTCCATCCACCCTCTGCATGAGAACTTCACTAGGCTATTTGGGTTGCTGGTTGACAGGCCAGCAAAGGAATTTTTTCTTCCAACCTTGAGGGGTTTTCACCTATCCCTCAGTGACCTAAGGAGTACTTTTGTTAGGCAATGGTCGGAACAGCAGCAAAACATGTATTTCCCTTTTGGGTGCACAGCCACAGCAGCGATTAACTCTCCAATGGTTTGATTTCACCCCCCAAAGGTGCGCTTCTCCATTGTCTCCTGAGACAGATGGATGCCAACTAACCAAGGTCTGTATATCAGCAGAAATGGCATTGGGCAGGATCAGTAAAGCAATGGGGGCCTCCATAACGTGTCTAGGGGGAAATATTGGCCATGCACACCCTAAGATCAGGTTAGGGCCCCCGCATGGCTGGAATCTCTCACCCCAGGCACCCAGTGAGACCCTGGACATTGGTCTATAAAGATTTGGTCTGATTTTTACCCAACCCCGCATCCTATCCCAGTTATTTCACCACATGGGGCCACAGATTGTGCCTGCTTGGGTCAACCTATGCCTTTTCAGAAGCTTAAAATTCCTTTTCAGGTTGAAAATAAGAACACTGCCCGCAATTCTAGAAACCTTTCCCTGGAACAAAGTCCTGTTAAGGATACTGGGATGTACTTCTGAGTAAGCAATGTTTACCACTGCACTACAAATCCCCAGCAAAGACACATGTTTAAAAAGCAAACAGGAGGAGCAAGGGGTAAGGAGCAAAACAGATTTATTAGGGGATGTTATATTAAATAGACATCCAAAATTCTTTTTTAAAAATGGGGGAGAGACAGAGAGAGAGAGAGAGAGAGAGAGAGAGAGAGAGAGAGAGAGAAGGAAGCAGAAATATACCAAGAAGGCAAACCTGTTTCCCAACTAGCATAGCCCTGCTCCCCGCCATCTCATGTTGGGAGCACTACTTCTGATGAGGTCTAAAACGATACTATAGAGGGATAATTTCTATTGTTTTGAAATGCATGTGCATGATCACGTGTTTGAGAAATAATAAAGCCCCTCCCCTCTTTGCTCCGGCAACAGATTTAAATTCTGGAGATTAATTCCATAAGATTCACTTGGCAGATTTTTAAACTGAAGGGAGGACTACAGTTCCGTGATTTAGCTTCTAAAAAGGGGTAGGTGGTCTCTGACCCTTGCGATGTCTTTGGACTCCCACTATGCTGTGCTTTCTCTGGTTGATAGCCACAGGTTCCCCATCTCTGGCCTGGAAAGCTTAACATAAACCAAGCTTAAAGTGAAGGCTGAGCCTATCCTTTATGCATCAGCTTCCTCTCCCTAGTTCTTCATTGTGGGCTTTGTCAGATGAGAACTATTATATGAGCTGCTGCCTTTGCGCACCAGGAAAGGTTGCTGCTTCACATTTGCTACAGCAAGACAAGGCTTCTCTGCTGGAGCAGAGCTACAAGAACGATATATTTCTACAGAACTAGATAACTCAGGATTCAGCTCCTAAGCTGGAGGTTTCTCCATCAGCCTTCCCCAACCTAGTGTCCTCCATGTTTTGGACTACAACTCTCATCAGTCTAGCAAAGATGTGGTGGCTGGGAATGATGGGAGTTGTAGCCAAAAACCCAAGGAAGGCGCCATAAGAACATTAGAAGAGGTGTTCCGGATCAGGTCCAAAACTCCGTTCTTATAGTGGTCAAAGAGATACCCACTGGAAGAAAACAAGTTTGGGGGAGGCTGTTCTACAGGACCTTCTCCTGGTCTTCACGTTTCTCCAAGATTAATCTCCTGAAATGCAATCGCCTGGTTTCTGCTACAAATGATGGCTAATACATTGAATAAATTGGAGTTCCCTACCTTCTCCTCCAACAGGCCAGCTGTTTCCCTTGATGCTTTTCCACTGGGACTGAGATATTTCTGCTCTCTTGCAAACTGCTCTTCTTACTTGTATGCCCTTGGCTAGTTTGCCTGCACTTCTGTTGCAGCCAATGAGATGAGGATGACTTCTTTAAGAAATGGGTGTGGGTGGGTGTGTTTAGACTACTGACTGCACCAGCAATGAGTGGGCATTCAAAGCGGGATTTAAATCAGCTGAGCCTCCTGGGAATGCTGATTTTTATGATGACCACTATCAACAGGGAAGGAGATAATAAGGAAGGAGGGAGTAAAGAGAGGGGGCAGTTTGAGCCCCTCTGAGAACACAATGATCTGACTCAGTAAAAGCCTCTGCGTGTGTCATGCATGCTTCTTCTTTCTTAATGAACTTAAAAACTGGATTTTTGTATTGAACAGAGATGTGCACCAAACCTTTAGCTTATAAACTGTACTTGAAACCTAACTGCAATCTAGCGTTGCATCTCAGTTGCTGAAAGTCCCAGCGTCAATCCCTGGCATCTTCATGAGGGGCTGGGAAAGATGCTGTGTTTGATATCCCAGAGGGCTGCTGCCGGCCAGTGCCAGTGATACTAACCTAGATGGACCAATGGTCTGATTAGCACAAGGCACCATTCTGTGTTTGTTGGCTGCAAACTCACCATGCTCTTTAAACGTAAGTCAAGCAAAATCATGGGACAGCTCAGTTGGCAGAGCATGAGACTCTTGATCTCAGAGTCATGGGTTCAAGCCCCACCCTGGGCAAAAGATTCCTGCAATGTAGGGGGTTGGACTAGAAGCCCCACGTGGTCCCTTCCAACTCTACAGTTCTATGATTCTAAGTCTGGGGCGCTGCCAAGCGTTGAAGGGGAAATACATAGATGGCTCTGGCCCCATGTCCATCTACTTGGCAATAGGCTTTGGCTAGAAATGGCCATGGCATGGGCCATTTCAGAGCCAGCCTGAGACATAGGTAAAGGTAAAGGGACCTCTGACTATTAAGTCCCGTCATGACCAACTCTGGAGTTGCGTGCTCGTCTCGCTTTATTGGCCGAGGGAGCTGGCGTACAGCCTCTGGGTCATGTGGCCAGCATGACTAAGCCGCTTCTGGTGAACCAGAGCAGGGCACAGAAATGCCATTTACCTTCCCTCCGGAGTGGTACCTATTTATCTACTTGCACTTTGACGTGCTTTCAAACTGCTAGGTTGGCAGGAGCAGGGACCGAGCAACGGGAGCTCACCCCGTCACGGGGATTCGAACCGCCGACCTTCTGATCGGCAAGTCCTAGGCTCTGTGGTTTAACCCACAGCGCCACCTGTGTCCCAGCCTGAGACATAAAGGTAAAGGTACCCCTGCCCATACGGGCCAGTCTTGACAGACTCTAGGGTTGTGCACTCATTTCACTCTAGAGGCCAGGAGCCAACGCTGTCCACAGACACTTCCGGGTCACGTGGCCAGCATGACGAAGCTACTCTGGCGAGTCAGAGCTGCACACGGTAACACCGTTTACCTTCCCAGTAGTAAGCGGTCCCTATTTATCTACTTGCACCCGGAGGTGCTTTCGAACTGCTAGGTTGGCAGGCGCTGGGACCGAGCAACGGGAGTGCACCCCGCCGCGGGGATTCGAACCACCGACCATGCAATCGGCAAGTCCTAGGCGCTGAGGTTTAACCCACAGCGCCACCCGCGTCCCTCAGCCTGAGACATAGTGCATAGTTAAACTATGGAACTCACTCCCACAGGAGGCAGGGATGACCACGAATTTGGGTGGCTTTAAAAAGGGATTGGGCAAATTCATGGAGAAAGTCATCAGTGACTGCTAGGCATGATAGCTGTGCTCTGCTTCCACAGTCAAGAGGCAGCAGCGCTTCTGAATATCAGGAGCTGGAAGCTGCAGGAGGGGAAGAGAGCTCTTGTGCTTGCGGGCTTCCCATGGGCATCTGATCACCCACTGTGAGAGCAGGATGGGCCATTGGCCTGATCCAGGGGGATCTTCTTATCTTCTTATGACACTTTTCTGCCTAACACAAAGCAGTAAATGGTAGTTGCCTCCCAAGTCCAGGTGCATAGGTCCCAAAGCTAACCCAAGTGAATTTTGCCCCTGGGGCAGAAGATTCCCCAATTGCTCATAACTACAGTAAGAACAGATAAAATAACAAACGAATTTGCAAGCCTTTCGTGACACCCAAGGACAGCTGCCTGGGGCAGCTCTCTCACTGCATCACAACATCCTGCAGCCTTTTATCTGGATGAGCAGGTTGCTCTTTACGTTATTCACAAAGAGGGAAGAGACAGGAGGAGGAGAAGGAGGCATATACAAATATGCAGTCATAACATGCAGGGTAACCCTACCCACATTTTTTTAAGCAAACCTGATAAACCACCCACCCACCCCTTTTTAACATTTGAAAAGCTGCTCTTCTTTGGAAAACTTGAAAAGACATGTGGGTTGTTGTTGTTTTTAAAGAAGAAATTCTGTATGAAACCTTTTTTGAAAAGACAAGTTTTTATTAAAAAAAAACAAGCGGAATGGGTGAGTATTAACATAACAGCTTAAGACAATTTGATAAAGGATGCACGCTGATCACCTTAGCCTGTAGTTCCTGAAATTTGTTCTGTTTGTGCAGACAAACTATCAGAGATAAAATGGTACAGGATGTGTTGTTAGTGTGTGAAAACAGGCAAGATCCAAAATCCAAGCTGCTTGGCACCTGGCAAATTTCAAATGCTGGTTTTGACTATACACGATTTTGTCTTTAGCCATGATCCCTGGAATGTAGCCCCCATGTAAACTGCAGGTTTACTGTATTGCATTTTATTGCACTGTGAATTGAATTCTATAAAAATCAACATAATGCAATGGGTGGACCTGTTGCAAAGTTCTTCATTGTAACATCCGTCAGCTTGAGTCTTAAGGCAGATTTAGCATTAAAATTATTCATCCTAGACTCCCATTAACTTCACTGCTAATCCTCTCCACTCCTTCCAAGTGCTTCCTTACCTCCCAACCAGCTGCCCTCCAGTCATTTCTCTCTTTTTTGATATTAATATTTTATTGAAAAGTTCTCGGCTATAAAGAAATAAAGTGATAAAAAGAGGGGGGAAAGGAGAAAATATTCACCCTGCTCACCATCCAGGTGGACCATTGGATTATAAGAGCAATGAATCAGTCGCTCAGTCTGCTGCCCCCACCATTCTTCACACAAATAACATGGACCACTGAATGAAGCTTGCAGACCACTGGTGGTCCCTAGACCACTGTTTGGGAACCCCCACTATAGGCAATTTCAGGTAAGGTGAAATGTTTTCATGAACTGTGGAGTCATTTACTTAAAAAATACCATGCATTCGGATTTATGTACTTCCTTAGTCTATTTGTAGGGAAAGTAGAAAGGGATTTCCTATGCATAGCAGGTATGCATTTGTGGGGAGGTGAAGGACGATAGCATACCCTCCTACATTTCTCCGGTAAAAATAGGGAGGTCCCATTCCATAATGATGATTTTACTCTTTATACCCCACACATCTTACTGGGTTGCCCCAGCCACATCTAGGCAGCTTCCAACATATATAAAAACACAATGAAACATTAAACATTTTTTTTTAAAAAAACTTCCCTAATACAGGATTGCTTTCAGACAGCTCGGGGGTCAGATAACTCCATACCCTCCAACATTTCTCCATTGGAAACAGGGACATCTTAAGGAAAAGTGGGACATTCTAGGATCAAATCAGAAACCGGGACAGCTTCTCTAAATCAGGGACACCCCTGGAAAATAGGGACACTTTGGGGGGGGTGCAATACTCCCTTATATACAGATCATAGCTGTCAACTTATCCCTTTTTTAAGGGAAATTCCCTTATTCCGAATAGGATTCCTCGCAAGAAAAGGGAAAAGTTGACAGCTATGATACAGATCTCAGAGCTTGTTCCCTGAGACATCTTTCAACAGCCAAATCAGGCTGGACCCTGACTGATATTGTGTGTTATCTGTTGGCAGACCACAAGGATGCCACTGCAAACAAGGTTGCCATCTTCGCAGGAGCAGCTCAAAAAATCCTAAAATATATTTGCCATGGTGCGCTCTTGAGGAGAGAGTCGGGGAAAGTGCTCTTCTTCAGTGGAGAACCCCTATCGCAGAAAACGAGAGGGAGGGGGCGCGAAGACGACGCTAACCCCTGAAAAAAACTGGAGGGGAGGTCTCCAGTCGAAGCATCGAGCGGCGCAAAAGGGGGTTTCCTGTTACTTCATACCACAGAAAAAGAAATAAAAACAGAGAGGTAGGAGGACGGGAGAACCTCGCGCTAAAGAGGCTACACTCTCGACCGTGAGACTCCTCAAGACCCGGCAGAGCAAGCACCAGGTTTTTCTCATTTAAACTAACTGACGCTGAGAAAAGTCACCCCATCAAAAAAAGGGGGGGAAGAGAACAAGCAACAACAGAAAGGGGGTCTGGTAAGCTTTATTTTAAGTAAGAACAGTGATAACAAAAAATTATAAATGAGGCTCACCGTGTGGGGATTTAATCAAGCAAAGAACCCTGCGACGGAGATTGCAGAAAGGGAAACGGATCTTGACTAACAGTGCATCAAACAAAGCGAGATTAAGAAAGGAGGGGGAAGCGAAGCAATAGCTGAGCTGGGAAGAAGAGAGGAGAAAGGACATAGGAGAGCTTACATAGCAGAAAGAAGCCGTGGAGAAAAGCATAGAAGCTGTAGGAGACGTGGGAGGAGCAGGACGTCGAGGGAACGCAGGACAAGGAGGGAAGAAGCGGAAAGAAGAAAGAAGGCAGTGGCTGAATAGGGAAGGGGGGATACCCACGAGTTTAAGGAGGAGAGAGGGTAAAGGGACAAAGAATTTAGATTTGCTGCCAATTTGTGATGGTGGGTACTTGTTTCGTAAAGGCGGACAAATGAAATCGCTCAGACAGATTTTGTTTGAATCCTGCGTGGTTTTTTTACTGTCATTGAGGAAACGAAGGGAAATCTATCTGGAAGCCCCAACATCATTAAGAGAAAGTGCTAAGCGGATACAAGGCAAGCATAGACGGATGCAGAGCTGACGCAGTCCCCCGTGGGAGCCTTTTACGAAAGGATCTTCTGCAACAGAAGCACCGGAAAGGTTGGCAGAAGGAGCGCAGAGGACTGAGATCCCCTTGAAATCTCTGGAGTACAGGTGGCCTTTTCAACAACGTCCGCACCTGTTAAGAGGTCGGCCTGGCCTCTGTTTATTGAAGCACAGATGGACTTAGTAGTGCATCCCTTCATGATGCTGCGCTGCCGTTGTCCATCTGAACAGGGAAGATAAGATTGGGTAGCCTGGGAAATCATTGCGTGGCGAGTTCCCGCCCCCCACCAGGATAAATAAAGACACGAGACACCATAGTTTAAGGTTAAATGGGCGAATTAGGCCACAACTTTATTGAATTCAGGAATGAGAGGCATTGGCTTAGGCATTGGTCCTAACGACTATCCGGCTCCAGCCCATTTGCTGGAGACACGGGGAAGGGTTAACACTATATCAGGGGAGTCTCCTGCCAAGGCATGTCGACTAGGAGCTCCCCCGGGTCACCGCTCTGGGGCGTGCCTTTGACCCACACCTCCATAGGCTTCAGACAGGGCCACGCCCCCCGGAGTCCTTTAACGGACCACCCTTCGTTCACTGGGGGGAGGTGATGGCGTTCCTCCCCCCACACACACATCCTCTTAACCCCTTCTTACCAATGCCTAACCGCCACACGAGCAATCGCTCGCCGCCAATACTCTCATGCCTGAAACCAATCCCTTACCCCCTTTGCTATATCAGTAAGCCACATGTCATTTCCCGCATCTGAAAGATGCACGCCATCAAGCCAAATATCATTTCCCGCATCCGAAAGATGCGGGAAAACGTGGGGGCTAGCTGGCGAAAAGAGGGCGAGCCACCTCTGCGTCGGCCCTAAATAGTGCAGGTCACGCACCACCACCCCCAGCCAGTCGATTGGCTGGCTGGGGGGGCAGACACGGCCAGGATTCCCCTGCTCTCACGGGGGCTGAAACCAGCCCCCACTCACGTGGGGGTGGGCGTGAAGCCCGCAACCCCACCTCCTGGGCAGGCCGGAAGTGGCTTTGTCGCCAGTCAACATGTCGCCTCCAAATAAGCGTTTTGGTCAACCCAATAGTGAAGTCCTAACTGCATCCCTTGGCTTTTATCCTGGTTGGATGTGCTGATGTCCAGGGCTTCATTAATATCACTTGTTGCTCATTTGTACTCTGTACTTTGTACTTCATTGTTGTCTGCAAGTTACTTGCATATTTTTACTATTACTTTATGCTAATTTGTATACTTCTTCCATGACATAAATTAGTTCTAAGCAGTTTCCATCGATTATGAAATCAAGTATTAAATCCACAGATAGAATTGTGGAATCATAGAATCGTACAGTCGGAAGGGACCACGAGGTTCATCTAGTCCAACCCCCCATTAGTTCAGGAATATTTTGCCCAACACGGGGCTTGAACACACAACACTGAGCTCCTCACATCATTAAAATCTGCAATAAAATTCCATCAAAACATTTAAAAATATCCATTAATTAAAATTTGCAAGCTGGCTAATATGGATCCATTGGTAGGGTGATTGTGTTCCCTTCTACCCACCAAGCATCTGGGGTTGCTGCATGGCCTTGTCTGGAAGAAATGCCCCCACACTGTGCCTGACACAAGGCAGCAGAACCAGTTTGCTCTGTGTCTCCAGCTACGCAAGGGCAAGATGCCATTGCACTGAGGATCAGCTCAGCTACAGATCACAGAATGGTTGAGTTGGGAGGGACCACGAGCCCCCAACATGAGGCTCAAACCCATGACCCTGAAATTAAGAGTCTCATGCTCCACCGACTGAACTCAAAGGCACGTTGTGCATGAAGCAAAACTTACTAATGTAGGTGGTTGTGGCCACATCAAAGCAGTAGCTCTCCAAGCCGGTGCAATTCACCACCTTCGTATGGCACACGCCTGACGAGGAGTAACAAGTAGGGCATTGCTTTCCATTGACCTTCTTTTCGACTTGGGGTACTGCAAGCCAAAGAATAGGATTCATAATCAGCTTCAGGAATGGACTAAGTGGGAGGCAGAGGCTAAGAAGATAAGAAGAACCAGCTGAATCAGGCCAGTGGCTTATCTAGCCCAGGATCTTGCTCTCACAGTAGCCAGCTAGATTGACGACATGAGGCCATTCCCATCCTAAAACTTCCAGCAACTGGTATTCTGTCCCTGACCATGGTGGAAGAGCATAGCCATCATGGCTAGTAGCCATTGGTGCTGACCTTTAAAGCCCTAAACGGCCTCGGTCCTGTATACCTCAAGGAGTGTCTCCACCCCCATCGTTCTGCCCAGACGCTGAGGTCCAGCACCGAGGGCCTTCTGGTGGTTCCCTCATTGCAAGAAGTGAGGCTACAGGGAACCAGACAGAGGGCCTTCTCGGTAGTGGCGCCCGCCCTGTGGAACGCCCTCCCCTCAGATGTGAAGGACATAAGCAGCTATCTTCTTTTTAAAAGACATCTGAAGGCAGCCCTGTTTAGGGAAGTTTTTAATATTTAATGCTGTATTGTTTTTAACACTTGATTGGAAGCCGCCCAGAGTGGCTGGGGAAACTCAGCCAGATGGGCGGGGTATAAACAATAAATTATTGTTATTATTATTATTATGGGTAGCCTTGTATGAATTTGTCCAGTCCTCTTTTCAAAGCCATCCAAGTTGGTGGCCATCACTTCCTCCTTTGGGAGCGAGTTACGTCGTTTATGTATTGGGCTGCCTCTGAAATGGCAATTTCTAGCCTAGGCCCATTGCCAAGTAGATTGGACTGGGGACAGTCACCTATGAATTTGCTCCAGTCCTCTTTTAAAGCCATCCTGGTTTGTTGCTATCTTGGTTAATAAAGCTTTAAAGGCTAAATACATTTAATTTATAGGTGGCTGTAGCCTAGAACAGCCTTCCCGCACATAGTGCCTGCTGGATGTTGTTTGAGTTCCACGTTCATAACATACCATCCAACATTTCTCCGATGAAAACAGGGACGTCCCATTCTATCACAATATTTTTTACTATTTATACCCCACACATATTACTGGGTTGCCCCAGCACTCTGGGCAGCTTTCAACGTATATAAAAGAATAATCAAACATTAATTTTTAATATTTTTTTTAAATCTTCCCTACACAGGATTGCTGGGGCGTTGGATAACTCCATACTCTCCAACATTTCTCCAATGAAAACAGGGACATCCTAAGGGAAAGTGGGACATTACAGGATCAAATCAGAAACCGGGACGGCTTCTCTAAATAAGGGACTGTTCCTGGAAAATAGGGACACTTGGAGGGTCTGTCATGAGTCCCAGCCAGCAGGGCCAATGTATCTGGGGTGAGGAGAGCTGTAGGCCCAAACATCTGGAGGTCTTCAGGTTGAGGAGAGACTGTGCTAGAGACAGATGTTGATGACGAATGGAACTGAATTGATTACAGATTGACAATTGTGGTGGCCCACCCTAGACTACATGTGATGGAGTAGAGGAAAGGAAGGGTCATGGCTCAGTGGTGTGGCATCTGCTCTGCAAGCAAAAAAACCCAAGTTCAATCCACAGCATCTCCAGGCAGAAAGGGAAACATCCCCTTCCCAAAACATTAGACAGGCACTGCCATAGGATATGGAGTTATCCTTTAAAGCCCTATACGGCCTAGGACTTTCGTACCTACGGGACCACCTCTCCTGGTATGTCCCACAGAGGACCTTACGGTCTTCAAACAAAACATCTTGGAGGTCCTGGGCCACAGGGAGGTTAGGCTGGTCTCAACCAGAGCCAGGGCTTTTTCGGCTGTGGCTCCAATCTGGTGGAATGCTCTGTCACAAGAGACTAGGGCCCTGTGGGACTTGACATCTTTCTGCAGGGCCTGCAAGACAGAGCTGTTACACCAGGCCTCTGGCCAGGGCACAGCCTGACCCCCTCCTTTGGCAATCCTCACAAAACTCTACCCCAATGGTTGCCATTAATCTGATTTGAACTGATTTTATAATGAATTGATTTTAGAATGCTGTATTATTTTACTGTTGTTAGCTGCTCTGAGCCCGGCTTCGACTGGGGAGGGCAGGATATAAATAAAAATTTTATTATTTATTTTATTATTAGACAATAGTGAGCCAGGTGGACCAATGGTCTGGCTCCATATAAGACTGCTTCCTATGTTGACAAATGGTGGAGGGTGGAAGCACAACAAGGAAATTGGAACAGGGTGTAGTCAGTGTTAGTCTTACTCAGAGTTCACCCACTAAAAGAAATGGACATGTCTACAGTAGGCCTCAGTATATGTGGCCTTATTTCTGAGGATGCTGTTCTCTGGGAATCTTTTATGAATAACAAGTGAAGTAAAAAACAACAACAAAGGGCTTAAAATAAATGCATTTAGGTGAAGCAGTGTGGAGTAATGGTTAGAGTTCTGGACTTGAACCTGAGAGACCATGTTTTAGTTCCTTTTCAGCCATGGGGGTCTTTGGGCTAGTCACTGTCTCTCAGCCTAACCTTCCTCATGCAATTGTTGCGGTGATAAAATGAAGAAATTGAAAAGTGAGTACACAACATTGAGCTCTTTGAAGGAATGGTGGGATAACAATGTAATAATAATAATAATTAATAATAATAATAATAATAATAATAATACTTACATTTAGGCTTGGCATTTTTGCAGTTGTCCCCCGTGCAACAGACCAAGTACATCCTGAAGGTTCTCCCCAACCCAAGATAAAAGTATGCTGAGGGAGTGGAGCAGACCTTTGAAGAATCACAGGCTTTCTCTACAGTGCGAATTTTATGTCCTTCTATGGGAGAAACGAGAGTGAGAAAAAGACAGGTTTGTTCAGTGATGAGCAAAACATCATTATGTCAAGCATTGTGTTTTTGGCTGAAAGATGCACATTTCTCAGATTTCTGAGATTTCTACCACTGATGGCAAGTATTTGGAAGCCAGCGGAGTGGGGGGGAGAGTATCCCCACAATTTCCTCTTGGATTGAAGGGCATATCTTTGTTTAAAAAGGCACAGTCCAATCTGACTT